GTTTTCAATGCATTCCTATAGGAAATGGTGTTTCGCTTAACGATGTTTTCCTATAGCGATGGGTTTTTTGGAACCAATTAACATTGTTAAGCGAGGCACCACTGTATTATGCTTTTCCTACTGGAAAGGGGAATAGAATACAGACAAATATGGAAGGAACTGCAGAGAGTTCATAGACATCGAGGCATAGCAGCTGGAACAGACATCACCAAAAGTAGGAGCTACATCTAAAATAGGAGAGGGAACATATGGTCCACGGCCTGATCGTATGGCTCCTTGGCCTAATTTTTGTTGGCCTTGGCAATGGATCAGTTCTCTGCAAAAACTGATCCGTCTGTACCTAGCAATCTGCTAGGTTGAAAAGAAGGATATAGAGAGAAGAGAGGTAAGGGTGGCAGAGAATAAGAGAAGTAAGAGAGAAAGGACATTATCTACCTACCTCTGGCCCTTGTAGATCATTCCCTGCCAGCTTCAGCCCCTCATCACCCACACCAACCTTGAGCAGATAACTTCCCAAGGAGAAGCAACCTTCGATAATAAAAAGTTGCTCACCCCAGTCAAAAGTTGGGGATGTACATATTTCAAACTTTTTCCCTGGCATGGTCCTTGTAAATCAAAACAGTTTTTAATGAAGCTTCCTATGCTTTTTTATGTGTTTATACAGCTCAAGGGTTGAAATGCCTTTGTGAAATACCATTGTGCTTTCCAGGAGGGTGCTAACCAAGATCATCGGGAGCATGTGTGGCTATTGAGGTGACATGCTCTGCCGCCCACGTGACCTTGGTGGTCAAGAAAAAATTAATTCCTTTAATATTTTTTTTTACATTTGTAATTCAATTTTAAGAAAATAGAAAAACTTTCATAAAATATCTTAAAAACCCTGGAAAGGCCACTATAAATCTGAATTTACATGACAGCACATACTTTTTTCCTCACACTCAGCCATTGGGGGGCAGCCAACATGAAGAAGTGTGGTGCATTTTTTAGAATTACTTTTAAATAAAGAATAATACGTCACCAACCCAAGAGTGATACTACTGAGCTATGTCTCCTTTATCGCATACCTTGACAATCTCTTGAGCAATCTGCCTTGTTTTGTTGACATCCAGGACGATTTTGGCATCTCTCACCACTGAGTAGAGCGTCCGTCCTTTGCACAAGCTGAAAAGAAAAGGAGAATCTTAATTGATCCTAGTAGCCAGGCTTACGTATGTGAGGGACTAACTCTACAAAATTGCCATTAAAACTGAATATAGAGATACCCAGTGAAGATAAATAAAATGGAAAGGATTTCAGCTGCTTAGCAAGGCAAACAAGTCAGGTTGGGACTTGTACCCATCAGTGTGCAGAAAGAGGGGTGGAGCAGAGTCCAGTTTGAGATGTTCAGATTGTTGCATGCTTCCTGTCTCTGTTAGCTCTATACATTTCTCAAACATGTGCCCTGAGATGGGATGCCTACTCTGCAGGAGAAGAGCAAAGTGGAACTAGGATGAGACCCATGAAATGAATGGTTGCCACACACAATGCTTTAGATCGCCTCCGATATCAGAGGCGATATCTGGTAATGTCTGGGCAAACCATTTAGGATACTGTTGCAATCATATCCTGCAAGAGGACTTTCCAGACACACCGCAGGAACAGAAAATTAGATGAGATATGTCTTTACCATATTCCAGTCAGGACCAAGCTGGACTAATATTTTGCTGTCTAAGTCAAAGGACAAGATGGCACCCAAGCTCTCAGTTCTGTATATAGAAGCCAACAGAAGTGGACATTGAAACTCACTGCAATCCAGCTCAAAGAGCACAAGGCAGACAGATCTCTGTTCATCAAGCAGAACCTGGGGAGTAACTTTTGAGGTGAATGACTATAATGTTAGTTATGATGCCCTCCACAACTAAGCAATGGTACGATGATATTCTGGCTCTAGAGCATCCTTCAGTTATGGATGGTTTCAATGTGTCAGGGGCACTTGTTTCATTCTTCCTAATGGCCAGCTCTGGTTTCACTCATATTTTTCATACATTCTTGAGAAAAAGGATCAGTTATGCACCAGGTAAGATTTGTCATATTTTCTTTTTATACCACCTGTTGCTGAGAAATCTATTTGCAGAGTCTTAATTACGAAATGCAGCTGCTGGATGGGGAGGAGAGACCGAAACCAATTAAAATTTGTATTGATATTTGAATCGTATAATGGAGTCTGTGGGTGGATTCTGCCTTGACTTTTTTCCTACAAAAAAAGACACTCTCCACACACACAGATACACACACACACACACATTCTTATGCCCACCTACGCTCATTAGAGGCAAATTGAAAAGTGAGAATGAAATACATGAACTCAGATAATAAACCCTCTAAAATAAAATCACATCTGAGGATCACAGGTGTTAAATTGATCTGGTTCTACAGTGAATGACAGAAACACTGCTGTTTTTAATTGTTCTTCCCTTCCACCCACTCTTGCAACCATCTCATCTTTTCATATTCTTACTCCCCCACATTGTGACACCAGAGGCAGGACCCGCTGTATTTCAGAAGCCACCCTTGAGGGACCGTAGGCATGCATGATAAGGGGTCCTAACAATCAATGAGCTAAAAAAAACTTCCATTTTAGAGTCAGTTCTGGATGTATTATCATTTGTGAACTCTCTGACTTGGTTCTAATTTAGACACTAACTTGTAATTTATTAGCAAGCAAATAGCCAAGCAAATAATCAAAAGCAGAATTCAGGTAGAAGGGTACAACTCCCTTAATCTCTTGCCACTGGTCATGATGGCTGGGGCTTCTGAGAGTTGAAGCACAAAACACCAAGATAAAGAATCACAAGAATTTGATTGCATCTCATTTAAAGCAAAAATCCCTTACTACGACTATTATTACAAAAATGGTGATGACTCTTCTGTGTTTTCATGAAAGATTCATCTGTAATACTAGAGATGGATGTTTAATGAAAGGACAAAAGAGGCTCTCTTTTTCATGCTTTGTGTTCTTTCATGGGTTTTTTTTTTGCAATTGCTGAAAGAGAGCTTCTTAAACATGAATTAATTTTGTAGAAGGAATACACAAAAGTTTTCTTTCTTTCGTGTTCCATCTTTCAACTTTTGTATGTCAAATCACCTGATACATTTTTCATTGCCTAACATTGCGGGAGTTAGCAGCAGCTAATAAAAATATCTTAGGGGGTGAATTTTGAATCTAGAAAAGGATCTGGAACCCACTGGGGAGTACTCTTTCCTTAGTTATTCTGTGCGAAATTGCTATGTGCTGAGCTCTTGGTGCCTTCCATCTTGAATTGCTGCTAGCCAGCCCACAATGTCTTGTGCCACCACCTTGTATCCTTCCATCCTTCTTTTTCGTCTGTTGATTTTAGGAAAGCATCCCCCCTTCCCCACACCTTGTATCCTTCCATCCTTCTTTTTCGCATCTTGATTTTAGGAAGGCATCCCCCTTCCCCATTTCTTTTCTTTTCTTTCTTCCTTTTTTTCTGAGTGTTGCACAATTTAAAGTTATGGCTGTATATGAAATATGGATAAAGTTCAACCAAATTTAATTTTTTAAATGATCAAGTAAAGCCTAGAGTATTATAACTTTTTTTGACCAGAAATGGGCTACTTCAATAATATTATCTTGGCCATTTACAAGATTTTCTTTAGTACACGTAGTGGGGCATACATTGTATGCACATAAATGTTGCATTGAACATATTTCTTCATAAATAATCTGCCCTGTATCCAAATAGCCGCATTTGCTTAATTATTCTTTGATGTTCCTACTTTGCTTCAGTGTCTATGCAGTGCCTTCAAGATGGTTCAGCCAGAATCTTGTTATGGTGAGAGATACTCTTCAGCATTTACCCATTTGGCAAGTTGTGCTGTTTTTGCTCTCCATAGATTTAGCCTAGCCTCTTCTGGTTTAATATTTAGACTTGGAGATGTACTGTACGTGGAAAACTTTTCCTTGATTTTAGCCATTATCTAGAGGGTTGGTTCCATTAAATGGATGAGTTGGTGTTATATTTTTAATTCCATTCATTATTAGCTAGCACCTCTCAATGTACTTCCAGAGGGGCAATGCCAATGAAATAATAAGACTTTTTCAATGGGGGTAGGTTTCAGACACAATCCTGCATGATTCATTAACAGGTACAGGGACAAAGCTATTATTTTTATTGTTTATGCAAGTGCGCCCTAGTCTGCTGGATGAGTTGGTGTTATATTTTTAATTCCATTCATTATTAGCTAGCACCTCTCAATGTACTTCCAGAGGGGCAATGCCAATGAAATAATAAGACTTTTTCAATGGGGGTAGGTTTCAGACACAATCCTGCATGATTCATTAACAGGTACAGGGACAAAGCTATTATTTTTATTGTTTATGCAAGTGCACCCCAGTCTGCCCCAGCCTGTTTCCTAAGTATGTTATTTCTGCTGGAGTTTTATTTGCAATCCCACATGCTGTCTGTAGTTTGAGCGACTGGGAGGAACTTTTCTGGCTGGGTGATTGTCTGTCTATCCACCACAAACCAATCGGTCCTTCCAGCTGTTGCAATTCAGAGAGCATCCCATCTATCCGCTGAATGTTCTATCCCTCTTTCATTGGTTGGTTGCAGTTGTTTGTTGCTTTTAATCTGTTCAGTTTGTTGCTAGTATGTGTTCAGCAAAGAAAGCTGTGTACACAAGTCTATAATTTTAAGTAACTGTAACTAAAGAAACGTTTTTATTCTTTCTTCTACAGATGTCTCAGAGTGAGTTATTGAGACGAAGTGCTACTTAATGAGAAAGGGGTGGACTCTGGGAAACTTGTAGCTATTTTCCTCTATGGACCTCTGTACTTCTACTATGTATGTAGCAGAAAGAGAATTTTACCAGAAATCCAAAACTCTGGTATTTAAATAATGTTGTGGGGTTTTGAAGGTCAGGGTTTGATCCAGAGTGACACTGAAATTTCTACTGCTGCCAGGCAAAGTGATTGTGCCAGTGTGCCACTTTGGGGTTATTATTTTTTATTCCTCCACCCCCAAATTCTGAGGGGCACTGTTTTCCATTGGGGGCGGTTCCTTTTCTTACTTGGATTATTTTTGATGCTGCCTGTCTGGCTTGCATGCTACTGCCTGCTGAACTCAAAGAAGAAAACAGAAGGCATCTACCGGTATTTCTAGTGGAGAGATGCATCTCCCCATAATCTAGTACCTTTTGTCTGAGTGAAAGCTTTGTATGTTTTGCCTTAATTTGCTTGCTTCCTTTTCTTCGTTTTTGGCAGAAGGGGCTGTCTGTGTGTTCATTATTTTGCTATTTCCCCCTCTGTGTGTGCAGTGGTGGGGCGCTTTCCCTATTTGCATTTTTTAAAAAATACAAGTGGTTAATGTACTGTGTATTTATTTGTTTGAATGTTTATATTTTGATGGGTTTTGAGGGGATTGTTTTGTGTGCTTCTGTGGGAATGTGTGAGCCAGGAAAATGGGCCTTGTGACTGCCAGTGTGCCACAGGGCTGTGTGGGCATTGCTCTATTGTTGTTCTTGATGTTGTGTTATTATTAGCAGCTTTTGCAAGTGCTGTGTCCTAGGTACTGGCTGGCTGCTTCCCTACTTTTTTTTTCTATTGTGCTGTGCAGGCCCAGAGGGCTTCTGCTGTGCTGGCTGGGTGGCATTGAACTCATACTTCTGTTTTCTCTTGTCCAATTTTTGGGTACTTTACTGCTTTTTGAATTAGTTGGTGGGAGAGCAAGGTCTTTTTTGCTTTGTGCAGAGGACTAGTGACGGCTGGTGCATTGGTGGCTAGAGAAACATATTTTTGTTGTCCATGTGTGAGGGTTTGGTTTCTGGCTCCTCTTGTTGTTCAAATAAACGGGGAAACATTTGCATTTTTGAAACAGGAGTAAGGTTTACTGGGGTGTTTCACAGGTAACCGGTATCGACAGGCTTGTTCCAATGTCTTTCTCCTTCTGACCACAGGTCGGGCAGGGATTTCCAACCTTCTTCCAGGAACGGGTTCTTTTCACTTGTGTCCCAGGGACCCGGCCAGTCTATAGATAAATTCTGGTCTACTGCTTGTCCCGGTTCACCTTCGAACAGGGGCACGGTGTCTTCATCCCGGTTGTCCACCCACATGGGGCATCTGGAGGGTGTGTGTGTGTGGGGGGGTCTGCCAGGGTTCT